ATTCTAAAATTTAATTAGGTACCCCGTCACTTCGACGCTCACTTCGCACTCGAACAAGATTCAAAATAAAACAAATTTTATAGAATCGACGTGCTGTATAAGAAGCCGGTGCCTTAACGTCCAGGCCACCATAACACTCTTTCGTTATAATTCTTTTTTAAAGTGGAAAATCATCAGAGGTTTTGTGCCCTGGGTGAGAAGAGAGGGATTGTCAGACTCTTACTGACTAAAAACCATACTATTATTTCTCTTGCTCCAGATCCAAGGTCGTGGTAAATTATTGCGCCTCCAATCGCAACCCTGGTTCAACATCAGCCCTGTTAAGCCCCATCTGTGGTGATCTATAGGCTCTAAGAGTTGCGCGCAAATCCTATATACCCAAAAGGTCGACGACAACTTGTGTTTGCAACTCTTCTTTATTGTTTGTTTATCGCATAACTTATTTGAAGAATAATATAAAATTCATTTTGCGAATTATAACCAAACTTCTGCAAATATAATAAAGAATATAAGTGTGGTAGATCTATGCTTTGGCATGAATGGGTCGGCTCGACCGGAGTAATATCACGGCCTCATAGAAAACCGGCGTGAAAAAGCCACAGCGTTGTGTTTTGCCCTGCCAATCCCTATTCCTCAAAAGGTCGACGCACTCGTAACTCCTCTGTTGTTACGGGTGTCCACGGGCGGCGCTGATTGCTTACCATCAGGTAATCCGTCTGCTCGTTTGCCGACCACATACATCATATGAAAAAATATATATAAAATAATAAATAAATAAATCTTCAAAAAGGTATAAAAAGGAAAAGGTTTTACTTTTAAAATGTATTCTATATTTTGGTTCCAAGGTCAGCATCGGTGGACCTGTCCTGGCAGGTTTCCACTTCATTAGCGAGCCATTTTGGAAATGAAACAAAAAGAACGAATGCTTAAAGTATTGTTACATGTTTCTCATGTTGATTGTATCTCAAATACTTTTACTGCCAATCTTTAAAGACGTTTCTTTCTTATTAATGTACTAACTTTAGCCCGCTTCGTTCGCGTAGAATAGTGACTTCCTGCAGATTTTTGGTATAAAAACTATCGTATGTCCTTTCTCGAGTTCCAAACTATGTCTATACCAAATTTCACAGAAATCAGTTTAGTAGTTTAGGCGTGGAGAAAAGACAGACAGACAGACAGACAGAGTTACTTTCAAATGTATAATGTTAGTTTGGAAATTTGGATTTTTCAAATCCTTATATTGTAAATGCAAACGTTTGTAAGTACAGATAAATGGATGTTTGTGAGTCTTTCACGCAAAACTTCTTAACATATCCGAATGAAATTTGGCTCAGAGATAGATTATAGTCTGGAATAATACATAGGCTACTTTTTAATCTTATGTTTAAACGACAACAAACTGAACATTAGTGTTACATTGTTCTCACATATCAGAACCGACTAAATTATGTAATAAAGAAATGTATTGTAAAACTGATTGAAAAAGAGTAACCATGGAGTTTCTTGCTCGTTCTTCTCCATAGGAATCTACACTTTGGAACGAGCAAATAGCTTCACTAGAGGACGGACGGACAGACTGACACGCTTAATTTTAAAGCTCATATTCTAAACTTTTTTCCTTTTTTGCTTGCTTGACGTTCAAAAGTGCCTACTGTGGTCTAATTGAAATAAATGATTTTTGACTTTTTGACTTTTGAAAAGTTACTGAGAAAACTTACTAGAAGGTTTGATTGCGATGGCGCAATCAAACCTTCTAGTAAGTGTAGTAGTAAGTTACAAAATGGTTTGTACAAGAAAAAATGCATAAAAATACATACATGCCAAAACCAACTCTCGGTCATAAAAATGAAGACAAATATGCCGAGAAACCATTAATCATCCTTGCTACTTCCAAAAACGCAACACAGCAATAAATCAGTTATTCCCATAACTGAAATTATTTGCGAAAATATTGAAAATTGATAATGATGGTTATTATAATGATTAATATCAATTTTACGTATCGGTATGAATATAATTTGTATTCCGAACGTGTGTCCACTGCTTTGCAGCCACTCAGTGAGAGTAAGGGGCTGTTCACACTGGCGTGTATAGAGACTTTTGCAGTCGAATACAGATTAAAAAAAATAGAGTTCTTGATTATCTGTGACAAAGGAGTTGAGTGTTATGTCTGGCATATAGGATTGAAGCCATTACTCACAGCAATTGGTAAGAAATTTCTGCATACTACTATTAAAATACTTCTTCGAACAAACGAACTTTCTGCATACTATGTACTAGTAAAACGTTTTTTTTTTTTACAAGAGTAACAATGGAGTTTCTTTGTCATTCTTCTCTAATCGATTCTAACCTTAGGACGACGAGCTTCACTGACGAACAGACTGACAGACTATTATTCTATTTTAACGTTTATTTAAAATAAATTATTTGACTTTGAATTTGAAATTTTAATATAGAAATAAACAATAAATAAATCTTTATACCATATTTTTTATTCATAATCATTCAACATAGTCTACAATTTTGGTAATGATTTTTAAGTTTTTATTTAAAACAATTTATTAACTAACTACCTAATCAATTCTTATATTTTCCTACTACCGACTAGAAATTTTCCGAACTTGCCAGTCTTGTAAACGCATCTTAACCACTGACGGGACGGCCCCTTACCATAAATTTAAAAACAAAATTGTTGTTTATTGCATCGTTTTCAGTTCAGAAATCACTTAAGTAACAAAAACAAGCGCCGACCAATCACTCAAATTCATACTTTTGCTTTTTTCCAGTCCGACAGGTTTACCTGTATATTATTTTTTTAGTTAATAAAGTCAACTTTAAATTTTACCTTTTTAATTGATATAAAAAGGAGGAAAATTGCTTTCCACTAAATTACTTTTACCGACAATTACAAACTTAACGACTGTTATTCTATTTTGACGTTTCAAAAGTGCCTGGATATCGTTTAACTGATTTAATATATTTTTTTTTTTATAATCTGCCGCCATTACATGACACTGGCAGTATAGTCGACAACATTAAATTGGAGACTCGATTGCCATTCAAGAAGAAAAAAAAAATTATATTTATTTTTTACATTTGATTACCATAAAAGAACCAATTGGACTGCATGGCATTGGCCTGGGGTTTAGAAAAATAGTTTCTGTGCAACATATCACGGGTTCAATTTACTTCACGATTCTTTTGAGGACCCACAATTCATTGTACCGAGTCTTGATGTTTTACGTTTGTGAGCGTGCATGTTGATTTTTTATAATATAGCGGATATTAATTCACTTCTCCACGGACTCGTGATCCGTGCCCTTGTCATAAAATTTTCATTAACAATTATTATTCTAGTAAATGTTCCAAAATACCGATTTCACATACTACAAATATAAAGAAATCTTGTATGTTTGCAACGACGACAGTAGAAATTCCTTTAAGTTAAATATCTATTTAAAAAATGTGACAGATAGAAAGCACTATCTATGGCAAAACAATAGACAAGTCTACGTTCAAATTCAATACCAAAATGACATTCCGTTTCTCCTGAACGGTGAAACAATCTAACATATTTCTAATTCCAATGAAAATTCCCGCCACCATATTGGTAAAGTCATCTCGTTAGTAAATAAATAAATCCACCAATAAGGACGCGTCCCTCTGTGGGCAACAATTCATGCCCGGATAGGACCGGGTACTTTGTTTGCCTGGAAAGGACGCACCTTATACAGTGATCCAAATGTATAGTCTGTGACAATCTTAGGCACATCTTCGAAGCATGCCTATTGAGGTGTCGCGGCTAACGAGCCGATTTCAGATATCTATCCGGGACTACAATGCAGGAAAAGTAAGGGGACAAAGCCGTAGTTCTATATTATAGGTTTGTAAAGTTTTTTTTTGTAGTTTCACAGTGATGGATGTCGCCACTGCAGTGGTTGAAAATTTAAGATTTTTAATAAAAAAAAAATATTTTACTAAATTAAAATTGGATTCCGGTGTTTCCGGACGTGACATGTAATAAAAAAGTGCCATTAAATACAATTGCGTGCATGTAAATCGTACATATCTTCAAATTTATTTCTATTAATTTTATTACCATAAACAATCCTGATTCCATTTATATCCTTACCCTATCAATGTACCATAAACAAAATGTCTACCGGAAAACAGTGTGCCAACCAAACGCAGCAACAATAATTTAAATTCATTCGCCATTTCTATCCACAGGGAATTCATTATAAGTTCCTTTTAACAATTGTTTTCGAGAAACGCTAAACAAAAGCTAGAGACAAAGAGGAAGAGTATTGTTACCTGTTACATTGTCACAATAAATCCTAGACTATAGAGCATATATTTTATATTGCACACGACTCTATTTTTGTTCGGTTGCCAGTAAGTTTTAAGCTATGGTACGGAAGTTGTTGTTTTTTTTTTTTAAATGAGAAAAGAGTTTTAGCATTCAAAGTTTTTGCAGTGTTATAAAACTACGTGTTGTTATAGGAACTATATTTTTCAATTCCTACTTTTAAGAACGTTTACTTCTAGATAGCTAAATATCAAATTAATTTTACAGGATATGTAAACACAAACAAAAACAGTTTAAAATATTGTCTATACCTCTCACAGCAAAACGCGGTTATTCTAAACCACCATATAACACACCATAAAAACACATTTGTAATCGACCAATAAATCTAACAGGCGTTCAAATCGAGTAATTTGTAGAAGAAGATGCGAATTCTCACGTAAAACGCACCCTGACCGCATTATGTCCATAATTAAAGGAAATGGCAACATTAGCTGCATACTAAACGATTATCCCCCTTTTATAGACGTAAGAAAAATGTCTGGTCTTATTTTTTGCGTATATCTCAGCTAGCACTCAAGTCTGATTGAAAGCGAAGGTGCAATTAAGCTGAAGCACTTAGAATAATACGGTTTTTAACGCTTAAATTCTATTGACTGTAATTGCTTTTGATTAATTTCTAAATATTCACCTGGCAACACTCGTGTTCGAAATAATCAAAATGGTCGACGATGAGTTTTCGGCGGGAAACTGCCACAATCCGTCACATTGTCGGCTTGTTACTGCAACAAAAGAAAATCAAGTTATTATTTTTTTCGACTTTATTTCAAATACAAGGATAAAAACAAACCAATATATAAATTGAAACAAAATAATAAGCAACACAACATTACATTTGATTACCAAAAAAAAATCAAAATATACTTGAGAAAAAAGTTCCAAACACATGTCAAACTTTTTTCTACAAACAAAAAAGTAATGGAACATTCTCCATAACACCAGTAGGCGTTTATAAACGAATGTTTAATTCGATACCATTGTACCCCTGTCATCACATCTGCATACAAAGGGTTACTTCTAACGGGGGCAATAAGACCCCGCTGACGATGAAGGCCCGCGCATTGTTTTCATAACGGTTAAAACTTTTTGCTAACCACTTAGTAGAAAATAATGTGGATTAACTGATTGAGAATTACGATTGTTATTTTTTTATGTAACGGCATTAGGTACGGTTTGACAGATGAATAAAAAACTTTACTGGCAGGTTGGAAAAAAAAATACCGTGATCGGAATTTGAATGCAACTGTCAAAGTCGTGACGTTTGTTCTTTTTTTAAGTATTTGTTGTTGTCAGTATTACTTTACAAAAAGTTTGTATGTAGCTTAAAGGGTGTAGGTATACAAAAAAAAAGTTTTAGTTGCAATTATTAACTAAAACAGTAATAAACTATTGATTTTATGACTTATCGATCAGATATTTGCGTACGCAACATTCTTATGCGTCAATCTGACTCACGCACAAGGCACAGGTGACATTATTATTCCTTGTAAGCGACGTACGGAGAGAATCACCGTCAATATACCTACAACAAAAGTTAGTCATCAACACTTGTGTCTTACAAGTAATGATTAATTTACTTGATAAAATATTTTAAAGGTTTTTCCATTGTCCGTTTACAACCTTTTTGGTTAGCAGTAAACCTATTTAAGTAGAAAAACTGATAGGCATAACTGGATAAGATAGGCATAATATAGAAGAAGTTGATAGGATAACGTTATTTATGGCATGTATAGGGATACACGCACAAAGATCACGTGATGGTAAGCAAACAGCACTGCCCATGCACATTCGCACCACCAGGGGCGATACAAGTAGCCGGGTTGCGAGACAAGCGCAAAAAGGTTTTAAAACGGGGGGGTTTTTAGTCAGTAAGAGTCTGACCCTTCCACTTGCTTCACCCAGGTTGAGAGAATTCATTTAAGGGTTGTAAACACGCAGACAAATCACATTTTGGCAAGCGTCGCTAGCCTTTTAGCTACGGTGGCCTATGTAATGATAAAACTAATTACAAACTTAACTGCACATTTGTCATAGTGTTAGCTAGGTGACTGGCTGATACTCATCAAGTACGCCTATAGCATTCAGGAACATTATAGCTATGTATCAGAGAGAGAATTTTGGAAATCAAGTGTGGGAGAGCCATGCTTCGGCACGAGTGGGTCGGCTCGACCGGAGTGATACCACGGCCTCACAGAAAACCGGCGTGAAACAACCACAGCATTGTGTGAGTGAGGTTACCGGAGGCTCAATCCTTCCTCTCCCCCACCAATCCCTCGTCAATCCCTAAATCTCCAAATCCCTAATCCCTAAAAGATCAGCAACGCACTCGTAAATACTTCGTTGCGGGTGTCCATGGGCGGCGATGATTGCTTACCATCAGGTAATCCGTCTGCACGTTTGACGACCTATTACATAAAAAAAAAATCCAACCAGCGGAGCAAATATGACCCCTACATGCAAACTTACAAATTTTACCTCTACATAATATTAGTATTAATATTAAGTAACTCAGTAATAAGCAGTTACTGACAAGATATTAATTCTCTCTCAGTTTCTACACTAGTATAGTAAATATAATATGTAAGTGGTCCAATAAACTCAACTCATGTCGTCAATTCACCGGTTCAAGCTACCATGAGCCCCATGGCAGCCATTACGACTGCAGTACAGTTAAATTCATGTGAAAATATTAAACTGTTACTTAGTTGTTAACAAAACGTTTGTTAAATGTGAGAGCTTTGAATAAAGTTATTATGTTTTTTTAGTATAATTGTGAAATTATCTTATATTTGAAAATTTATTTCTATTCGTTAGTCTCGCTAAATCTCGAGAAAGAATGGTACGATGTGGCTAATTTTGGACTTCAAATATTTCTGGGAAGAGAACAGGGATGGTTAGAAAAAACCTAGTCTTTCAATAAACTTTTAAGTGTCGGAGAGCCATGCTTCGGCACGAATGGGTCGGCTCGACCGGAGTGATACCACGGCCTCACAGAAAACCGGCGTAAAATAACCACTGCGTTGTGTTTCGCCGTGTGAGTGAGGTTACCGGAGGCCCAATCCTTCCCCTTCCCCAATCCCTCCTCAATCCCTAAATCTCCAAATCCCTAATTCCTAAAAGGGGTCGGCAACGCACTCGTAACTCCTTCTTTGTTGCGGGTGTCCATGGGCGACGCCGATTGCTCACCATCAGGTAATCCGTCAGCTCGTTTGCTGTCCTATCACATAAAAAAAAAAAAAGGTAGGCCATCACCGATGGGACAATCAGGCTAGTAACGACGTAATGAAATTATATTAGGGATATGATGCAAACAGAAATACTTTAAAACTGTTTGTTGAGTTCAAAGTCAAAGTCTGAGTCAAAATCATTTATTCCGACTAAAACACAAATAGGTACCTAGTTTTGAAACGTCAAAATAGAATAGTAGTCTGACAGTCTGCTCGTCCGTGATGCTAGATGCTCGTTCAAAATTGTACATTCGAATGGAGAAGAAAGAGCAAGAAACTCCAACGTAACTCTTTTTTTTAATTGTACTTAGATATCATTTCTAGCCATCAACACAAACAAACTTTATAAAAGCTACTGTTTTATCATTCAATCAATTATTACATCACAAAACAAAAAAAAAACAAATCAATAGTCATAACTTCAGTTGTCAACAAAAGGAAAAAAAAAACAAAAGAGGTTCTAATTACAAATTCAAAAACCGCTTTGTCGGGCATTCCCATCTAAATTCATGGACACGCTTGCCCATAAAAACAAAAGCATATGGCCGACTATACGAACTAAAGATGTCGAAGTTATCTTAAGGGCTAAAGTTGATTAACATCTAGATGAGAACCAGAAACGAGAAAAGATGAAAAGACTTTTTGTTTTTAACAATATAACGCGAAAAAGGACTTATAGATCCTTAATATTAGACATACAACTAATATTGACTTTTTTAAATTTCTATTGCATTAAATAACCTTTTTGTGGGGCGAAAATTATCAAATAAATTCTACTGCCCTGGGTGAGGCGAGCATATCAGTCTCTCACTGACAATAAACAACTCAGTTTCGTCTCCTGCTTTAGGCTCAGGCCGCCCCGACCCCGGCTGACCAACGATCTATTGTAATATACGTGTAATTAAAAAAAATGTCACTGTCAGAACTGATTGCCTGGAAGCAATATTTGTACAAGATTCATTATGATTATACTATCACTCTGAATTAATCAATAATTAATATTTTAACATCAAAAAACTTAGGTAAACTCTGTACAAAAGGTAACGTAATTATTGTCTTCCACGGTAATGGAAACAGGCAACCATTTTATTTTATTTTCCCGCCAATAAAACAGGAGTTGCTAGCGTACTACAAAAAGCTTTTAAATGCAATAGCTCTTGTAAAGAGGTTTAACGATTTATTTGTTGAAACTATATATACGATAGGTAAAACTAAAGTGTTAGTAATATGAGCAATAATAAATGCTGATAGATTTTGGCTGCATGTAATTAGAGTTTTCCATGTTTTTATAATAACTATCGTGAGACATACTAAATTAACTAATAATCGCGGGTTCCTCGCGTGTGTAATTGAGAATAGAGTTTTCATACTTACTTAATTTTATTACTTTTTTATTTTATGATGTTTTTATAAAATACAAGATACGATGTGGTTGACGTATCCTCGTGAATAAAAACCCAATAATCTTATCTTAAGACTTAAAACACTTTTAATCCCATCTAATATTAGTAAATGTACAATAAACAGTAAAATAAACATAGTATACAAGTATACTTAATTATATTAAAGCTATAATTATAGTTTTTTTTATTGTTTGATGACATCATTTTAGTTTTAACAATTTCGGTTGTTGCGAGCTCCAAAATCAGAAATAAAATTACCGAGAATATGAAATTTTTTTGTGAATATATCACAAAAAATTTACACAACGCCGATTTTCACTAGAATTTAAAAGCCGTTGATGATACGGGAAGTCGACCATTACGTTTCTAACTTCCCGAGTAGTATTCAACCATTTGGCATTAGGATCTCAACAGGTGTTGTGACGTCCATTGGACAGTTCGACGTAACGCAATTTGAGGAACTGGCCGGTTGTCGCCGCGTGCGCAGACTTCTAGGAAATGTGCGCTAACGCATCCACCTCGCGCATGCGTGCGCGTGACGGCGCGCAGTAATGCACGCTTTGTTCTGTGTACAGTTGTGGCTGAGTAGTTTTGGAATTATTGGTAAATGGTGTTTGTATGTTGGTGTTTCGCTGCTGTAGGCAAATTGGGAGGTTTTAGACTTCGTCTTAATATTAATGTACATGTAATATGTATATACCTATGGTGTCATAAAAGATATTGTTTTCGACGGAGATAAAATATGCTTTCTATTGATACATTTTTGGTATTTTTTCCACAATTCCTTGCTTAATTTTTAGGTCCAATATTCTCAAAAAATATTGAAAAATACACAAAGCCTTTTGTTATTTCAAATACACCTTTTGTCTAAAATTTATAAATAGTAGGAATAGAACACGATAATTCGTTCGAATACTTAAATATTTTTAGTGTAAATTCTTATCTGAATATTTAATAAATCGTTATTTTCTATTTACATCAAACACTCAAAATTTCAAAGCTCAGATATTTAGGTAATTAATTATTATTTTTAGAATGATAGGTATGTTTGACCTTATCCTAATCTTTATATGATACAAAAAAAACACGTTGTA